TAAACTGGTCTCAAACTCCTGGGCTCAAGTGGTCCTCCTGCCTCAGCCTCCTGAAGTATGGGGACTAAAAGGGTAAGTCACCATGCATGGCCTCATTTTCTCACACTTCTGGAAGGTAGAAGTCTATGAGCAAGGTATGGTCAGTGTTAGTTTCCATGAGGCCTCTCTTCCTGGTTTGCAGATGGCCACCTTCTTGCTGTGTTCTCACCTGGCCTTTCCTTTGTGTGTACACAGACAGGGATGTCTTGTTGTCTCTTCCTCTTCTTGCAAGGACACCAGACCTATCAGATTAGAGCCCCACTCTTATGACCTCATTTGACCTCAAACACTCCCTTGAGGGCCTGTCTCCAAATACAGCTACACTAGGGATTACAGGTTCAACATAAGAATTTTGGCTGAAGGCCAGGCATGGTGTCTCACTCCTATAGTCCCAGCACTTTAGGAAGCTGAGGCAGGCAGATCATTTGAAGTCAGAAGTTTGAGACCATCCTGACCAACATAATGAAACCCCGTCTCTACTTAAAATACAAAAATTAGCAGGTTGTGGCGGTGCATGCCTATAATCCCAGCTACTCCGGGGCTGAGGTAGGAGAATTGTTTGAATCCAGAAGACAGAGGCTGCAGTGAGCCAAGATGGCATCATTCTGCTCTACCCTGGGGGGATAAAGAGTGAGACTCCATCTCAAAAAAAAAAAAAAAAAAAAAGAATTTTTGGTGGACACAATTCAGTTCATAACATCAACTCTTCTCTGCAGGAAAGCATAATGAAAGAAAGTTGTAATGGATATTGAGCAAACCAATTCACAATATCCACCACAGCTTTAAAAAATAATAGTAATAGCAAACATTCAGAAGCAATAAAAGAAACAGATTAAATAAATACTGGTATATTGACACAATGGAATACTATGAAACTATTTAAAAAAGCATACAGGGAGCTCTATGATAAATGTCTGTACTATTATATGGCTGGGTGCAGTGGCTCATGACTATAATCCCAGCACTTTGAGAGGCTGGAGCAGGTGGATCACTTAAGCCCGGGAGTTGGAGATCAGCCCGGGCCATAGTAAGACCCTGTCTCTACAAAAAATAAAATTAGCTGGATGTGGTAGCACACACCTGTGGTCCCAGATACCTGAGAGGCTGAGGTGGGAGGATTGCTTGAGCCCTGGAGGTTGAGATTGTAGTGAGTTGAGATCACACGACTGCATTCCAGCTTGGGGGACAGAGTGAGATCCTGCCTCAAAAATTTAAAAAAAAAAAAAAAAGGAAGAAAAGAAAACTCTCTGTGATATGTTGTTAAGTGAACAAACTAACATTTAGAACAAAGCAAATAGTTTACTACCATATGTGTAGCAAAATAAATGAATGAATACCTGTCATCTATTTATTACCTATGTATGTGTATATGTATGTATGTTTGGGAAGTAGAAAAGTTCCTCTTTAAAGTTTCCTTTCTCGTTAAAGAATAAATCATAGGTGTGCTAATAACTCTTTGTTAAGCCCTATCCTATGTAGCTGTTAGACATGCCATGCTTACAGACACGTAGTACATTCTGTGTCCTTGTACCTTAACCAAGATATCTGTGCTGGATGTCCCAGCTTTTCATTGCTTTTGCCTGTTTGGAAAAGTTTTAAGTTGTTAGCCAATCGGGTTTTAGTTTAGATTGTGAGGTCTGACTCCAGCCAAAGGAGATCAGACACAGCAGTAAGGATGACCCCCAGTGCATAAGGGATAAATATGTCTGCTTTCCTTTGTTCATTGTACTCTCGTGGCAAGATGGCTAGTAAGAGTACCCTTCCTGCAGTCCAGGAAGTAAAAGTTGCATTGCTGAAAGATCCTTGGTCTCAGTGCTAATTTTTTCTTTGTGGCACCAAGCATCTGTTTCCAACAGTATGTATATATGTAAGTAGTTCGGTAGGTATTTGCTCACATTTGGCATATCTGTGAATAATACACAAGAAACATACAACGTTGGTTGCCCCAGTGGAGAGAAGAACTGGATGGCTTGGGGCCAGGGTGAGAGAAGACATTTCATTTTATGCACGTATTTTGGAGGTTTTTGTTCATTTGTTTGTTTGTTGAGAAAGCAGATTCTGAGACCAAGTTTAGTGTCCAGGGTGTTGATTAGGAAATGGCCTTGGCATCCAAACCTGTGGAAGGGTGGGAAAAGAATCAGGATTGAGCAGAGGGGGAACACCTGCAATTTGGACCTGACAACACATTCCTTCATCAAGGCCATCAAGAACTCAGGAGTTGGCTGGGCACCATGGCTTAAACCTGTAATCCCAACACTTTGGGAGGCCAAGGCAGGAGGATTGCTTGAGCCCAGGAGTTCACATCCAGGCTGGGCAACAAAGTGAGACCCCTCTCTCTACAAAAAAATTTAAAAATTAGCAGGGCATGGTAGCACGTGCCTGTAGTCCCAGTTACTCAAGAGGCTGAGATGGGAGGATTGCTAGAAGCTGGGCAGTTGAGGCTATAGTAAGCCATGACTGTGCCACTGCACTCCAGCCTGGGTGACAGAGCAAGATTATCTTAGAAAACAAACAAACAAACAACACTCAGGAGCTGAAATGTGCATTTAAGAGTTATCCTGCTTTGGGCAATGTGGACAGGCTTTTATACTTCTGCCTTGATCAGTCACCAGATGTGAGCTGCCTTGGAAAGGGCATGAGCTCCAGAAAGCGCTCTCAAAGGTGGGCAACATGTACTTCCTTGGAGTCTGAGTGATGCATTGCTGTGTCTGTCACTTAACGGCCTATATGATCTGGCCTCTTGAAACGTCTCTGATCTTATCTCCAAGTACTCTTCATTTCACTTGCACTGCTCCTTAGTGTTTCTTGAGTTTTCATCTCAGAGTCTTTTTCTTACTGTTCCTGTCTTAATTGTTCCTCCCTTAAATAACAAAGAGGCCCATGCCTTTCTTCCTTCATACTTCTGCTGAAATACCTCCTTACTGAGAGGACTTCCCTGACCTCCTTACCTGAAATAGTACACTTTCTTCAGCATCTTACCATGTCTGTTTCTTTAACTTGCTTCTTTTTCTAATCCTCATCACTGCTTAACATACATTTCTTTGTTTACTTTTTGTTGATGTTCATTTGTGGTCCCCCCCACATTGTTTGGTCCCCTGGTGTATCCTCAGTGCTGAAGATAACACAGTAACAGGCACACAGTAGGCTTTCAGTAAATATTTGTTAAATGAATGAATGAAGGAATCAGTCACTATGCTAAGTTGTAAAACAAAATTATAAGCAAAATGGAGGCAGGTCCTATTCTCATGGAGTTTGCTGTGAATGGAGAGGCAAAATAATGCATCAATTACACGAACATAAAGCTGCAGTCATGACATGGGCTACGATGGGAAAAAAATATGGTAGGAGAAGACCATATAGAAGAGGCTGGAAAGCTTCTGTGAGAAAGTGATGTGTAAGCTGAAATCTGAAGGATGAGTAAGCTTCAACTAGGTAAAGGAACATGAAAGAATCTGGTTCATTTTTGGAAAAGATCCCTCTGGATTCAACAAGGAAGAGTGAATGAGAGGAGCAAGGATGAGTATCTATAGGACTGTTAGGAGGGCATGGAAATTCTTCAAGTGAGGGGTGATGGTTGCCTGAATTAGGGGTAGCCCTGGTGGTTAGAAGAAACAACTACATGTGAGAATTATTTATTACACAATAGATGAGGCTTGTTTATAAATTGTATATGGAAGATAAGGAAAGGGAAGTTAAAAGAAGGACTTCTGAGTTTCCATCTAACTGGATGGACGGTTGAAAGAATATTGGAAGAGAAACAGATTTATTTTGTTTTATTTTGTGTTTACATGTGTATATGGGGAAGAACAGTGAGAGAAAAGATAGATTATGATTTTGATTTTTGACATTTTGGTTTTGAGTTGTTATTGAGACTTGCTGTATGAGATGCCAAGTAGACCATGGTTATAAGTGAGGCGCTCAGACATGTAGCTTGGGCTGGAGAAGAAAATTTTTGAGTTGTCTGTCTAGGTGGTGTTTGAAAATGTGGGAATGAATGAGATTGCCTAGGCAGAGAACATTCAGTAATAAGAGGAGAGGGATAGGATGACCTTGAGGGACTGACTTGGAAAAGAGACTAACAGAATTGACTAGAGATGTTGGAAGAAAAGGAGGAGAATGTGGTATCACCTCGAAAGAGTGTTCTAGAAAATGAGTCCTTAGCCACGTCAAACCCCCTGAAAAGGGACCTGACAACTAAAAAATACCAGTTGTACTAACAACATGGAGGTCACTGGTGATGCCAGTGATTTTTTCTTGTTGTTGCAGGAGAAATGTTAAGGTTAGTGGAAAATTGATGAAACGGAAACATTGTGAGTATAAAAGGCAAAGCAGAGGGACTATTTGGGGGTGGGAGTGGAGGGATTGAGAGTTTAGTTGGTAGTGTAAAGTTTCCAAGAAGATGGGTAGGAAAGTGAGTACCAGTAAAGGGCTTGTTAAAATGCCAAAGAGGGACTCTGTTGTAACAGGAGGGAAGAAAGAAAATGGCAGGGTGCCGACTTGAGTAGATTTCTGTTTGGTAGAAGTGAGATGAAGGGATTGCCTTCTCTTTTTTCTGCAATGAAAGAGGAGGGATTAACTACTTTTCCGAGTGTTAAGTAAACGGATTGTTTTATGATGCCTTAGCTCTCTAACTTTCACAGATAAGTAAATGTATATCCACTCTCACAGCGGTGGGAACAGAAACAGTAGGTGTTTAATAAATACTAGACTGATTTTGATTCTAATCGTGATGATAATTAATCTGATGATGCTCTGATGGCAAGGAAAAATATAAGCTCCAATCAAGCCCCTGTCGTAAGCCGCCTGAGAAGTGAGGACGGAGGTTCGCAGTTAGGAAAGGAAACCCACCCTCACGCTCCTTCTGGTCCAGGACCCTAAGGGTTAAGATCAACGAGAGTTGGCCATCACTGTTTCCTAGAGCGGCCTCAGCAAAGCCGCCAGGGGAGATGGGGTAACTTCCTGTTTCTGTCTTCCGGGTTTGAGAGTTTAGGAACCTGGGTTGGTGGGGTCAGAGAGGTGGGGGCTCCTTTCTCCCGGATTGCTGGGGGTGCAGGCGCCTTGGGTGTAGCCCCCAGAACAGTGAGTTCCTTATTTGGGGGAAGGGAGCCGAGGGTTGCGGGCTAGAGGAGTGGAAACAGCTCCGACCAGGCTGCAGCGGACCTCCGGGAGAGAGATCCCGCTGCTGCCAGGGGCGAAGGCCCAGCAGCTCCCGCCGGCGGGCCACCGTCATCCTTGCCTGCCAGGTGCCTTAAAGGATCTCGTCTGCCGGAGACCGTCTGGTATCCTGGAACTTCACCCCCCAGTGTCTCCAACTTGCCCCTGTTAGAGGTTCTTAAAACGAGGCTTCAGGCAGTGCATTTGCTTTGAAGGCTTTCTGATCGAAGCACGGCCCCACCTTAATCACCTGTTTGCTCTACAACAGTGAAAACAGCCCTTCCCCGTGGAGTGACATCTTAATGGCAGCCTTTTATGGCCTTGAATTTGCCACCATTTTGCTGAGCCACTGTTCCCAGGGCTCCTTTGCTGCCAAAGTTAATAGTATTTTAGTAGGGAAAATGGTCGGATGGTAATGTGTTACCCAGAAGGAACTCACTGTTCCTTCATGCTTCTTTTGTAAATACTTTGATAACAACAGGTAACTAGGACTCATGCTTCTTTTGTAAATGCTTTGATGGCAATATGTAACTAGGACAGCAAAATACGTAACTCCATTCGAGCAACTCCACCCCCTCCCTTTTTCTGCATTCAGGTGTATGGTTCCCCACCTCCCATTCAAACACTGGGATCTTAGTAATATAGACAGTTTCATGTTTCTCTAGAACAAATCTGCTTGCTGATGAGTGTGCTTACCGAATGTCAACTCACTTTGTTACAAGGCTTAGGAACGCGGATCTGTTTTCTAAAACGCCAGCCAATATATTATAAAATACAGGGACTCTTGAGGTTTATTTGCAGTTAGGGATTATGCTCAGCCCTGCTTCTTGTTCTAGTTTACGATAATAAGTAAGTGGGTGAAAAAACGTCAGCATCTAATCAGACTTGGAGCTCAATCGTGCTCTACCACTTTCTAGGTGACCTTAGGAAAATTTCTTAATACCTTTTAAACTCATCTGTAAAATGCTGGTAGTTGTTCATACACCTCAGAGAGCTATTTTAAGAATTAAATGACAAATATATGCAAATTATTTCATTCACCATCTGGCACATAATAGGCAGTAATGGTGAAAATTCAATATAAGTACAGATACTATTTTTGTTTTTAAAATATGTGCATTTGCATATCCTTTTAGGTCCTTATTTTCTCCCAAATGATGATACTCTTCATATTCTGAAATGGATGCCAAAAGTCCGTATGTCGCCGCCTTCCTGTGGTAGATCACATTTTCTAGTCCCTTAAAATAGGTTAATGATTGTTGGCTCCAGAAGACAAAGGTTAGGCTGAAATGGATTTTGTGAATATGATAGACTCAGAAACTAAGAGCAAGGAGGAGGAGGCCCCTCTTTAGCTTCCTTTTTATATTTCATGGTTATTGGCTATAATTATTCCACCCCTGCTTTGTCCCGATTTCTCTTTAATTTATATAAATCCTAACATTCCTTTGAAATTGACTTCAAAGGGTTCCTTCTGTCAAGACCAAGTTATTCTTTTGAAACTAAACAGAGTGCTTTTTTTTCTTTAGCTGCTTCTTATGCTTGCGTATTGATTCCTTGAAGTCTTTATACATTTTATTGGTGTCTTTTTTAAAAAAAATACTTTGCTTTTTAAATTAAAAGTGTTTCTAAGCTATGCTTGGACAGTATTCTGTCTTTGAAGCTTGATCTTCAAACCTTTAATGTGGAGATTTAATTTTTTGCACTGTTATTTCTTTAGAAAAGGTTAATTGGGTTAACCCTTAATTCTAAACACTTGCATCAGAGATAAGATTTTCTAAAAGGGCTGCTAAGAGTTGTGTTTCTTATTTTCAGTATGGTTCATGAACATTCTGTGCTTCCTATTGGTATGTTGGAATGGTTGGTAAGGAAGGAAGAAGAATAAGCTTGAACAAATACCTCCAAACATAATTTATTTCCTTTCACAGGGTTTCTGATCCGTAACGTGGCTGTGATCATTGTGATGGAGCAAGAAAAAGAACTGTTGGTCTCAGACTATAACAGCTTCATGAAGAGGGAGAATTTGAAAAGCCCCTTCACAGGTGAGGGATCAAGAAAAGGATACGAATCCTTAGGAAACTTGATGTAGAAAGGACAAGACCCTGGAATGACACAAACTTTAATTTACTTCTTTGTGCTGTCACTTAAAAGCTGTGTTAATTATTTCAGCCTCATTGTTCTCATCTTTAAGAAAATGAGTATCTGTCTCACATTTATTTTAGGATTACTGAGATACCACATCCAAAGCTACTGTTCTTAATAAATAGTGGCTATTGTTATTTGTATAGTATTTGCTTAGATTTTAGAAAGCTGTTGCCTAGTTTTTACCTGAGATGGTATTCTGTTCAATGTCACTCCTGTTTTTATCAATCCTGTTTTTTTCTCTTAAGTCTTCTAGAATAAAATTTAATGCATTTATTTTTAGTTTGATGTTCCCTTTGCCAATAATGATTCAAATAATTCATTAGTGTTGTTGCTAAGTACAAAAAACATCCACCTGCTTCTGGTAAACAGAGGAAAAGAAGTAAAACTGTCTTTAAAAACTTTTTTATATGTAATTACTTATGAGGTTTCACATTGTTATTTCCTCTCTTCCACTGCAATTTAGAATTTATTTCTCTGGCAGAGATTCAGGAATATGGTTAGAATATTTGTTTATTATTGCAGGAGATGAAGGTATGAATAATTTGGAAACTGTTCACCACAACAATCCTAAGGCAGATCATCTTAAAGAGAAACCTTCAGAATGGTGTAAAAGACATGGACCACAACATTATGAGCATGAGGATGCAAAAGAAATGCCATTGACATGGGTTCAAGATGAGATTTGTTGTCATGATTCCTATGAGAGTGATGGCAAGTCAGAGAATTGGGGAAACTCTATAGCTAAAGAGGTGGAAAAACCCAATCACCAGGAATGGGACCCAGGAGAACATACCAATGCCTCTGTCCAGCAGAATTCATCCTTTGTAGACAGACCCTACAAATGTTCCGAATGTTGGAAAAGCTTCAATAATAGTTCTCACTTGCGTACTCACCGGAGGACCCACTCAGGAGAAAAGCCTTATAAATGCTCTGAGTGTGCGAAATGCTTTTGTAACAGTTCTCACCTGATTCAGCATCTAAGAATGCACACAGGAGAGAAGCCCTACCAGTGTGGTGAATGTGGGAAAAGCTTCAGCAATACCTCCCATCTTATTATCCATGAGAGAACTCACACGGGAGAGAAACCCTATAAATGTCCCGAGTGTGGGAAGAGATTCAGCAGCAGCTCTCACCTTATTCAGCATCACAGATCACATACAGGTGAAAAACCATATGAATGTTCTGTCTGTGGAAAAGGCTTCAGTCACAGTTATGTCCTAATAGAACATCGGAGGACTCACACCGGAGAAAAACCTTATAAGTGCCCTGATTGTGGGAAGAGTTTTAGTCAGAGTTCCAGCCTCATTCGCCACCAGCGGACACACACAGGTGAGAAGCCCTACAAATGTCTTGAGTGTGGAAAAAGCTTTGGTTGTAATTCTACTCTAATAAAACATCAGAGAATACATACAGGAGAAAAGCCTTACAAATGTCCAGAATGTGGGAAGAATTTTAGTCGTAGTTCAAACCTTATTACACACCAGAAAACGCACACAGGAGAGAAATCCTATGAAAGTTCTGAATATGAAGAAAGTTTTAATCAGAATTGCAGTGTGATAGAAGACTGCAGAATCCAGTTAGGAGAGAAACCATATAGATGTTTTGAATGTGGAAAGAGTTTTGGCCTTAGCTCCCATCTCATTAGACACCAGAGGACACATACAGGAGAAAAACCTTACAGATGTTCTGAGTGCTGGAAAACTTTCAGTCAGAGTTCCACCCTGATGATTCACCAAAGGACACATACAGGAGAGAAACCTTATAAATGTCCTGATTGTGGTGAATGCTTCAGTCAGAGCTTTAACCTTATCAGGCACCGGAGGACCCACATAGGGGAAAAACCTTACAAATGTACCAGCTGTGAGAAATGCTTCAGCAGAAGTGCCTACCTCAATCAGCATCGGAAAATTCATGTAGAAAAACCTTTTGAGTCTCCTGATGTTGGGGATTTTCCTCATGAATGGACTTGGAAAAACTGTTCAGGGGAAGTGCCCCTCATCCCTTCATTTTCGGTATCAAATACATCTTCCTGAGTCCCAAAGCCTGGTGATTTTTTCTTTCTTGTTGGACCATGACAGTTTAGGTATTCTCTGATTATTGTGCTATAAAGTTTCTTTGGTGTGTTTGTCAAAACATTTGGAAAAAGTCAACCTCCCAGTTTAAAGGATGGGAAGACCCCAATCACCAGGTTATTGGATCTGTCCAGCAAGAGATTCATCCACCAAGGATGAAGAAAGGAGGACTTTTTTGATTTAAGGTAAGATAGTAATAGCTTCAAAAGAACACCTACAGAGTAATCCTGAGAGTAAGCAAAGGAATCTGTGAGAAACTGAAGCTACAAATGCCACTGAATTATTTTCTCTTCCTTTATTGCAGGCGTCCCCCAAACTATGGCCCACAGGGCTGCATGTGGCCCCCCGCCACACTTCAGGAAGGGGCACCTCTTTCACTGGTGGTCAGTGAGAGGAGCACAGTATGTGGCGGCCCTCCAACGGTCTGAGGGACAGTGAACTGGGCCCCTGTGTAAAAAGTTTGGGGACACCTGCTTTATTGGATAGATAAACATCATTACTGGCCTCAAGGGTTTACCCAGAGAAAGGGTCTTTTTGAGTAAAAAATGTGATTTCCTGGCTATTTTGTTGGGGCTCAAGAAAGATTCTTTTTTTTTTTTTTTTTTTTTTTTTTTTTTTTTTTTTTTTTTCATTTTTAGTCACTAAAAATGAACTATTATAGCATCTAGAACTATACTGTCCAACACCATAGCCTTTAGCCATATGTAGCTATTTGTATTAAGATTAATTGAAATTTTAAATGCAGTTCCTCAGTCACACTAGCCACTTTCTAAGTGTTCAGTAGCTCTGTGTGACCAGTGGCTGCTGTATTGAATATTATACAAGGTTCATTCATTCAAGATCATCATTCTTGACAGACCCATAAATATTTTCTATAAGACTGTAGAAATGTGCTCTGAAGGGTTTGCGCTCCAGAAGGAATTGTACTGTAGAGTAGAATTGGGATAGAGTTTTGAAGACACTGGGTTTAGAGATTGGATATTTTAATGACTGTGAGTTCTAATTTATGTGCAGCCAACTGAGTTATCTAGTGATATGATCTCACTGTCTTGACCAAAGCCAGGATAGGAGGAAGGATTCCTGAATTCTATCTTAAAATTTTTAATGAAGAGTCTTTTCCCCAAGTTATCCCATTATGTAATTCTTGGTCAGCTCAGGAACTGGGTTCTTTTTCTAATAATTAGCTCACTAATTCTGAGCTAGTGTTCAAGGACAGTTTGCCATTAAGGAGGACTGAGACTTCTTAGCTTCAGTACTGACAGTTTTCTTTTGCCTCTTGACATAATTGGTATATGGATCTGATAACTGAGGCCCCATCTTCCCTACTCATTCATATGGGAATAATGCTTTGGAAAGTATTAGATATATCCTATTTCCTTCCTCCCATTTTTTTTCCTGCTAGTGCAACAGGTAGATAAGTAGGAAGGTCAGCTAATTTTTGGATTCAGAATATATTTTATGAATCATATGCAGAGACACATATCAGGAATGTGAAGCCAGAATGGGTCCATTGTAGCTGATGCAAAGGGCTGTAGCTGATGGTCATTTAATTGCCTCGGGATTATTTTATCTTTCATGATTGTGGTGCACCTGATGCTGGCAAGGCATTTGTGTGTTTTTGTATTGTTATTTGATTACAAAAATAAAGCAAAAGCTAGGAAATAAAGTTTTGAAGAATTTGGGGGAAATTTTCTGCTTTCAAAATGGGGAAAACATTGGGCATTGTTGGCTTTTTATTTTTTTATTAAATTTTTTAAGAGATAAGGTCTCACACTGTCACCAGACTAGGATAGTGCAATGGCACCATCATAGCTCACTGTAGCCTCAAACTCCTGGGCTTAAGGGATCTTCCCACCCCAGTCTCCTGAGTAGCTAGGACTACAGGCACACACCACTGCACCCAGCTAATTTTTAAATTTTTGTAGAGACAGGGTCTTGCCATGTTGCCCAGGCTGGTCTTGAACTCCTGGCTTCAAGCAGTTCTCCTCCCTCAGCCTCCCAAACTGCTGAGATTACAGGTGTGAGCCACCACACCTAGCCTTTTATGTGACCTCACCTGAGTATCTTTCTATCTTTGTATGTTATATAGTATTGCCCACATTTTCTTAAATTGTAATATTTTGGGACAAATTTTTACAGTAAATAATTGATTAATGCTTGATAATTAAACTTAGGGCTTTGCTGTTGAGGCTGAAATTCAGTTGCAAGGAAGCAGTAGTTGGGGTGATAAAAAAATCAATCACATGCTGCGTGGCAGGTAACCACTCTGAGCCTCAGTTCCCTCATCTGTAAAGCAAAAATAATGTCTACCTTACAGAGTTACTATAAACATTAAGTAAATGTTTGCAAAGCATATAGCACAGTGCTTAAACATAGCAGGGTATCAGTAAATGGTAATTAGTTGCTGCTTTTATTAATTGAAACAAACTGAAAAAAAAACGTTATCTACATGTTTTAAAAATAGTATTATAGCCCCAAACGTACCTTACTTGTAGATTCTTTATGATCAACTTCAGAAATTTTAAGGGATAAAATGCTGGAAAAGCACAGGACTATATTGTTGGCAGACTGTCTAAAACACTTTTATTCACTCTGTAAGCAGCTATAACAGACAGGAAATTTTACTAAATTATCTTCTTATTCATGAAACAAAGGATTTGGTTTAAATTAGGAAAGAACAAAGTCGAAAGTTCAGTTTAATTTAGTTTGCACCTGAAGAGATTAACAGCAGGTACAATTTATGTCCTGTCACCGTCACCTGTACAGTGTACTATGATGGCTGGCAATATATAAAACCTATTTCACAAACCTTGATGTCAACCAGAAAAAAGATGTTCACATCTTAGAAGGGTTAAGATGGGCTCCATTAGTAAAACAATTTGGCAAAAATCCTTATCTCTTTGGATTGAAAATGAGGAAAACAAAAGAAAGATTTGTACCTTATGATGGAAGATATAACGTAGTCAAACATAATATGGATGCTTTTATCTCAGTTTCATTAATCAGCAAGTAACCTCTTTGTTTAGCTCCATGAGAAAGACATATTCTATAGTCTCTATTTTTCTTGCTAGCACAAAGGATTCAACATGTGAATAAAGAGAGCATTCTTTATTTATGAGTGCTTTATTTCATAGTTTCTTTTTAATTAAATAGAAGACACCTATATGAATATTTTCCCTACTCAAAGAAGGAGCTCTTGTATATTTTCCATGCCATTGCATAGGAAGAGCCATGTCAATGCATGTACTCACAACTATAGCAGGGAACTCATTCCCTAACTGCTGTACAGCCTATCAGAGGGCATGTGACCATAAATCCGTATTGTAACTAAGATCTACTGTTTACTACTTGGAATTACCTCCATCATCCCAAGTCATCCAAGTTGGGTCTGCCAAATGGGCCTTCTCCTTAGTGCTGTAGAAGTTTCTTCACTGATGGTGAGAGGTAGTGGAGTTCAGCAGTACTGTGACTTGTTTTTATACGTTAATCTGATACATGCATCTCAGCCAGTCTTATTTTCTGAAATCACAGTGTTAGTCTCTTCAGTGTTGCCATAATAGAATCCCTGAGGCTGGGTAATTTATAAAGAAAAGAGGTTTATTTGGCTTGTGATTCTGGTGGCTGGAAAGTCCAAGAGCAGGGAGCAGCATCTGCCTGACTTCTGGTGAGGGCTTCTGTGCTATGTCATAACATGGCAGAGGTCAAGGGGGAAGAGAACATTTGTAGAGGGGCAAAACATGAGAGTTGTAATCACTTTCTAACAGCTCACTCTCAGAAACTACTCCTGTCTCATGTGAGAGAGAGGTCACTCACTCAAGCAAGAATTGGCAGCATGCTGCCCATAAGGGCAGAGGGAGTCCCCACTACCCAGATGCCTCCCATTAGGCTCCACTTCTTAAAGGTTCCACCTCCCAATATTGCTGCACTGGGAATTACAGTCCCAACATGAGTTTTAGTGCGGATACTGAAACCATAGCATTTGGTAAGAACAAGAGTGTCATTACAGTAGGCCACCCTTATCCATGGTTTATTGGCTTCTGGCTCAAGTGATCTTCCTGCCTTGGCCTCCCAAAGTGCTAGGATTATAGGCATGAGCCACTGTACCTTGCCTGAGATGGTTTTTTTCAAAGATAGTCTTGTTCTTCCTCTCTTGGTCTTAGGATCAACTGAGATTCACCTTGGGTTGAATCATTTTAAGAATTACTTTGATTTTTCCCTTTGCTGCCCCGGCATAATTTCAAGGAACATCATGAAGAACTGCCTTAAGAACTAGGGAAATAAGATGAGGGTTTGATACCAGGAGTACTTCCAGAGGAACAGAATTTTAAGGGTGGATTTTCTTAATTGGTTTTGGGGTTTCTGGAATTGGCCCTCTAATCTGATTAGAGCTAAAAATGCTAGAGACTGATTTCTAACAGTCAGCACTGATAGTCCATTGCTGAGCTGTTTATAGAGGTATACAAAATAAATGCTTGTGACACTCCTAATTCACCACTTACAAGAAGCAATGCACTTGGTGATTCTGTACATGATATTTTAGGACATTTGTGGAAAATCAAGAAACATAATGACATTGGTTGGTTGCTACTAATATTGCTGGACAAAGTAATGAAAGAAAAAGATGAGCTCAGAGATTTGAATTCTCAGCTCCAGGTATACATAAATAGTCCATAAACTTCTAAGTGTTCTCTGAAGGAGAATCTTCTCCCCAACAGCCTTAGGGTTGAAATTACCAAAACCCAAATGCAAGCCCTGATCATGCAACTATTTTTACCTACAAAGAAAGGTGCACTCAGCCTCACAGGATGTTTACTGTTAAAGTGAGGGCACTGATTGGGAAAGAATGGGAATAATTGGATTCCAAGGTGGCAGGGTCCAAGTGGCAAAAGTCAACTGCCAAAGGCAAAGTGGGCATAGTTACCCTAATGAAGGAATAGCAGAGGCAAAGCAACAATCAGAATAACTCATGTAGACCTTTGGCTTTGGCTAATTAATCTTGGTGTTCCTAGAAGTGAAATAGATGGGAAGCTTACTGTGTTCTTACTTGATCTGTATAAGCAGAAAACTTCCAGGTCAAGTAAACAAAAGTCGATAACTCAAATACTAAAAAAAAAATAATAATGGCTGCTCAATTTCCAGACTTGAACCAGTTTATAGACCCAAAACCCCTTGAATAAAGGTAACACTACCCTTTATTTGGGTATACTACCAAACATTTATACTGTTAATACCTACACCCATTTACTAGGATAACTGTGCATTGAGGAA